AGCAAAGATTTCTATACACTAAGAGCATTAAATCTCTGTCAAATATACCATGTGTCTCTAATTTTCCCTTTAATTCAATTTTTTTTGTTTTTGGCCATACAGCAGTTTGCATATTTACATAGTGAAGTTTTCCAACCTTTTGTTTTAAAATTTCTTTTATTGCTTTTTTGCTCAGAAAAGCCTCTCCTACTTTAGCATTAAAGAAACAACTGCCAGATTCTCTCCTAGCTACCCCATTATTTCATTTCTTAGTTTATTTCTCTAAACTCTTTTAAATTTATTTTGGAATAGGGTGAGAAGTAAGAACCAAATTTAAAAATACATATATTTTTTCCCAGATAGATGACTAACATTCTCAGAATCCTCTGTTGAATAATACCTAGTTTAAATCCTCCATCCTTGTCCTCATTTTTATTTTTTCCTTAAGTAGTCATACACATTTAATTCTTCTCTGCAAATTTTATAATCACATTCTAATGTTCCAAAGAATAGTGCTATTGTGAATTTGATAGAATAGATGTGGAAATAGTTGACATATTACTAAATGCAACTTTACATCCATTAAATGTTTATTCAGGTGTTAGTCAAGTGCCTCATTATTCATTCTTCTCCTTATATAATTTCCATATATTACTAATTTTGTTAGTAACTATTTTTGCTAATGTTAAGAAGTTTAAATTGTTGCATTTTTTAAATAGTCATTTCTGACGTAGAACACTATTGACTGCTGTGTAGCAACTGATTCTTTTATTTACAAATAATAACTTTTCTTTCTCCTTTCCAATAGTCCTATTTCTTACTTATGTTTCTTTTTTCTGTAACTAGAATTACAGAATTATGCTACATAATAATGGTGATCTCATCCTTGCCTTCTTTGTTACTTTAATGTTTCTTGGGCTTCAGCATTTAGTATATTTTTATGTTGTAAAATAGTATTTATTATTGCATGTAGTAAGTATCCTCTATCTCAGTTTGCTAATGTTAACTTAAAAAAATGGTTAAATTTTATCAAGTATTTTTTCCATCTGTCAAGATGACCAAGTGATCTTCAGTACCAGTGCTACTAACTGCATTAATAGATTTCTTTAAATTAAACCACATTTGTATTCACAAAATAGATTTATTATCTGACTATGTTTTAGTTATTTTAACTATTGACTGGATTTTTAACTATTGAGGTTTTAAAATTCTATACAGAATAAATAATACAGAACATCCATGAATAACCTACAGCTAACCTCATACATCATAGTGAAAGACTGACTATTTTCCCTTTGTGTTAGAAATATGACAAAACGGCCAGTAACCACTTCTAATCAACATTGTACTGTATCAGTGTGAAGAAGCAAGTTAAGAACCCAAGGAAGTGAAGCCTTGGGAGAATAAATCATTAATCACTTTCTGCCTTGTGTCTTCTTCATGTGAATGCAAAGTAAAATGATAAATCAACTTATAGCTGGATTATATGACAAAAACAAGGCAACCACATCAGGTTATAGCAGAATTGTTGAAATGTTGAGACTCCTAATAATCCTTATTAGAGATATAATTTTTTTATGATGTTGGAAAGTTGAAAAGCTAATAATTTCATTAATACAAAGTCAGCTATAACCCAAAGGATATCTTAGAGTTAAATGCTCAGAGTCAGGTAAATTTTTGTAGTAAGGTGGAAATTGTAGATAACTAAGAGTTAAAAGTTGCAGACATTTCCCTTTTTGAGATTAGTACCCCATAAATATATACACTTACCATGCATCCACAAAAATTAAAACTTAAAAAATTTAAAATAAATTAAACATAAAACATTGGGATTAGCATATATGAAATTTGTATCTATAGTCATAGAAGAGTCGGTCAATATTGAGCTCTAGAAATGATGGGCTTTAGGATTTCCAGAGGATGGTATTTGCTAGGGGTTTAGATGGGAGTGAAACGCAAAGAACAATTAATAAACACATTGTCACTGACACCTTGCATTGCCTTTCTACAAACTACTTTCCAAATCATTTCCCTCTGATTTATAACATACGTTAGCTGCTTGCCTTCTGTTTTACTGCATTCCCTTTTACCCTCCCATCCTACTCACACCCTCAGAGATAGTCAACCCAAGACGCCTTCCCTGGGAAATGTTCTCTGATCAAGGAGGATTCTTCTCTTAACTGGAACTCCAATCAAGGTTAGAGCACCCAGCTTCGGGACAGAAAATTTATTATCTAACAGAAGTTTAATAATTAGAAATACGAATACAAAACTTCTGTTTATCAAGAACTAGTAATATTTAAAATCCAGCTAGTTTTTCCAATATTATTAGGAAAATATTTCTTCATTGATTGTTCTTAACTATGACTTGGGCCACTAACCAGAGTATGGCTGAAAACATGTTTTAACAATTTGGCTTTTTATTTATGAAAGATCCTCAACCTCTTTAGAAACACCATAGAATCCCAGCTACTCAGGAGGCTGAGTGGGGAGAATCGCTGGAACCCAGGAGGCGGAGGTTGCAGTAAGCCAAGATCATGCCACTGCACTCGAGCTTGGGCAACAGAGCAAGACTCCATTTCAAGAAAAAAATAAAAATAAAGGCTGGGTGCAGTGACTCACGTCTCTAATCCCAGCACTTTGCGAGGCCAAGGTGGGTGGATCACGAGGTCAAGAGATCAAGACCATCCTGGCCAACATGGTGAAACCCCATTTCTACTAAAAATACAAAAATTATCTGGGCATGGTGGCACGCGCCTGTAGTCCCAGCTACTCAGGAGGCTGAGGCAGGAGAATCACTTGAACCCGGGAGGCAGAGGTTGCAGTGAGAGCCAAGATCACGCCACTACACTCCAGCCTGGTGACAGACCAAGACTGTCAAAAACAAAAACAAAAACAAAAACACAAAACAAAACAAACAACAACAACAAAAAAACATAGATCTTCAAAGATAAATAATAATCTGAAGCTGAGGTATGGTTTTTGAAGGAAGACTATGATTGTCATTAGGTAAATGGTTTTGTTTCTTCTGATTACGTATACATGAATGAAATGTTGCATATTTTTTACTTTAGAAAAAGATGATTATATTTATTGTTATTTTATTTCTAAGAGTAAAATTAGTTATTTTCATAGCTTTTGGCACCTATGATTAAAAGTGACTATTCCATTAAACAACATTGCTATGTTTCCACTTAACTAAAAGCACAACTTCTGAGTCTTGTTCTAGGCAGAAAATTAGCACATCCTGAAGAATTTGGGAGCACATTGCATCAAATTAGAAAAAAAATCCAACCTTGCCACACCTGACTTGCTTTTCAAGTGCAGGCACTAAGAACAATGGAGCCTCCAGCCGTGAATTAACAATTAACAAGTCGATTAGTAATTTCCACCATTTTTACTTCCAGAAAAAAAAATGCCACATTTAATACGGCTATAATGGGAAGAAGAGAGGGAAAAAGTGCAAGTTACTAACAGTTTGAACATGAAATAATTGACATGAAACGTGTTCAACAATTGTCTGTTACATAAGTCTCACCTCAACTTGACACTGTTTCTTAAAATTTTTCCCATTTAACAACTGCAAAACACGAGGCTGTATTATTTAGTGGAAGGAACATGAACTTCAGAATTGCATGCCTAAAACTGGGGCTGATATCTCTCTCTGCCATCTGTTGGAGATTACTGGGTGGTATCTACAGCTATTATTTGATATTCGTTTTCAGTAAGATAGATTCTGAAATCTACCTTTGCTGGGTTTGAGTGTGTATTAAATGAGACAATGTAGACAAGGCACTCTTTTGGTGTTTCACATAGAGGGTGCTCAACAAATGTCAGTTATTTTATTCTATACCCTCCATGGCACCTAGCACAGGTCGAGAAGTGCTTATGAGAAGTGCTTATTGAAAAAATAAGATATTATCATTTGACGTATACAGAAAATCTACACGAAATCCTCCAAGTCAGGACTTCAGCCTCTTTAGCCACAGAAATCAGTTATAAAACAGCAAGGGAAAATCTTCTCTTTTTGATAGATGAATTCTATCAAAATCTAAAAGGTCCTTTCCAGCATCCAACTTTGCTATCTTGGTAGGACGGAAGTGAGAGTTGAGTTTTCCAGGAAAGAAGAAGAAGATCTCTCCCCGTGGCTGTGAGCTGCTGAAGCAAATACCCCATAACAAATAAAACTAGTGGAAGTGTCACGATTCCGTTTTGGACACCCTTTCTTAAGAAATCCTGGCTTCATACCAAATGTTATACTTGAATAGCACCTTTACATGCATACAAGGAGACAAGAAAGGCTGTAACTTTTATTTTGTTGGTGCCTCAGAAAAAGGAATGGAACATCTTGGGGGCTGAGGTGTGCTGTGCCTCTGTGAAGTGCTATCCCGGCACCAATACATTTTTTTCAATGCTGTTCATTTTAATGGCTTCTGGTGTTTTAGGGTTGTCTACCTTCCTCAGGAACATCAACCATGAATGAATCAACTCACCTCTGTTCTGCCAAGATAGCAAAGTTGGACTGTGGAGCAGAACTAGAAATTGTTTTAGATGAGCCAATTGCCTCATCAAAGAAATATCTTTTTTCCAAATTTATTAGTTAACTACAAATAAGCTCCAGAATTTAATTTGGAGTGTTGGGAATTACAGAGAGATGGATAAAGACAGTATTTCTCGTTTCTCAGAGAACTAGCACAAACTTTATTCTGTTTTTGAACCATACATATTTAGAAAAGAACTATAAATGAATAGAGAGGCCCATTATCATTGCCCCCATCTCTTAAAGAAGGCAACCAATACACTGCCCCAGAGAAATAAATGGCTTTGATTTGCACTCCCTCCACCAGCTCATTGCTTAGAGACAAAGTATTTCTAATCACAGTTGATTTGGGTCCTTGGAAATGATCTGCAGAAAGAATGGCTGGGTGGATTAGGAAGGTTAGCATTTTTTAACCAGGAAAACATGCATGAATCACTGATCTTCGAGCTCTGTCCAGAGTCCAAGTTTCAGTTTTGCAGAGTCTCTCAGGGGCTGCGGTAGCCCTTTCAGTGGAGGAGAGATAGACTTGGCTGTGAAGCCCAGACCACAGACTGCACCCAAGGTGATCTCATCTTATCTGTTTTATATTTGGAGTTTTATTTTTCAAAAATGTTTCTCCTGCTTAAGGAAAATAACAATTTGAGAACCATTTTATGAAATCATTTGTTTGATTCACCCCATTAATTCATCCAGGCTTGTTATGATTATCTTTTATAATGTTATAAAATCTCTCAGATAAGCACTGTGTGCTCACTTAAAATATGATAATGTAATATTGATAGGTGACTACAAAAAGAGAAGCACCTTTTTCCATAGAAGATGCAATGCAAGGGAGTATAATGCCAGATAACGGTAATTGAGCAAAGCTCACAAAAATCAGCAGAACATTGTCTCTTAAAAGATATTTCTTTAATGAAATTGACTTCTACATCTTTCAAAAGATATCATATTTGTGAGATAACATTTCTAAGCACCAGATTGTTAGAATATCTTTTAATAAATATGTGGTAATCCACATTAATTTCTAGTAATCATTCAAATTTGAATAATAGCCATTGTTCAATTTCATTAATTTATTTTGATCAAAAAAATTATGTTTTTCCCTTCATATTTAGAGTTCATGGTAAATTCAACTTTGTCATCTGCACCCTTAAGATTGATTATTCCCAGTCGAAGTAAATTGATTTCAGTAGAAATCAAGGCTTATAGAGTTTGCTACAAGGTTACCAAGATAATACCCTTAATATTTTTAAAACTTCATGCTTGAGAATTTTAACTACACACACACACACACACACACATACCCACACACACACACACAGCTGAGTTCAATTTGCTTCTCAAAGTCTAAGTTAATAACAATGATTAACATATATCTATTTTAGTAGTGCCTTTAATATAAATAAAGCTTTGTTTTCTTTTAAAATTCTTGTTATATCCTCTTTATTATAAATTTGTGAGCTTGCCTGGGTCAGTTTCTAAAATTGCACCAGGCTCAGGTCCTTAAGTAGATTGCCAACAAAGAATTAGTAAATTAATTCCACTTTAAAGCATGGTTCTGATCATAAAACAGTGTTCTTCCATATTTCTTTGGTTTTTCTACATCAGATTTGTCAGGCATATAAAATATCAAATTACTAAATGCTAATTCCATTAGAGTGTTATGCAGCTCCTGTGTACCAATGTTCTATATCTTATTATAAAGACAGCACCATAAAAAAACCACCGAATTTTAAGAATTTGGGTGTGAAGCAATTTTCTGCTTCATAAAATACACTTAATGTCATCTCATGTTAACAGAAGCAGTCTTAGACTTGTAGTTTTTTCTTAAAATTTGCTTTTAATGAAAGTGACTTAGAATATCAGAGCACACCCCTTTTATCCAGACAGAAAAACATTTATAGCAAAAGCTATGTAAGCATATGTAAAATGCATATATAGTGTTGAATTTTCATGTTCTCTCTCCTTCCATTTATAACACCCATCAACACAACACCTTCAAAATCGTCTCCATTATTCATTTGCAAACATTATTGTATCAGTCTGACTTGGTCCTTCACTGGCTGTCTGCTGTTTCCTTTAAGTAATACTCTTATTAAAAGTGTTTATATAGCACGCTATCACTGTTTACACCATTAAACCCCTTAAAACCAGATAGTCAATATTTTTTTCAAACTAGATTATTGTGATTACATGTTTGACTTTTTTCCCATTAACCAATACATTTGTTATGTATCCTCCATTTATCTGGCAAACTTGTCCTGTAATAGGCCAGATACAGTGAATATTCTGGGCTTACAGGCCATATGGTGTGTATCACAAGAATTCCATTATGGAGAATAATTGCACTAACATAGAAATTCTAGCTCTGTCTTAGGTTCTGAACGTACCAAACGAAGTAAAAACTTAGACAAGAGCAGGGATGACTGGAGGATGTCCAGGAGTATCAGAATAGTGCTAAGGAGGGGGCCATATAATTTATGGGACAAACCATTATATGTTTGTAAGAGAAGGAAGCACTCACTGACTAAATGGGACATTGGGACAATAAACCTAAGGCATGTGGCGAAGAGGGGATTAATCTGATTCTCATGATTCACAGACAACATTGGTCTCTTTATAGATGCTGCGTTCAATTTCAGACAGTCTTTTTAGTCAAGTTTTCTTGTATACTTATCTCCTATTATAAATGCATTCTTGTCTACTTTTTTATTTTAGATAATTTAGGTTTATATTTGCATACTAAAATCCTAAATGTCTGAAGTATTTTCAGCCCATTTTTTCTAAAATGTAATATCAAAGATTATTCTCTCTTTTCATAGATCATGTGTCTGGCTCTATGTGGGTGCTGTAGATATATAAATATGTGCTCCACTTTCTGAACTATGAGTAGAAAATGTTGCAGTAAAAGTGATATAGAAATAATTTTCCCACGCAAAATAACAAATTCTTCAAACGCCATTTTTGCTACCTGCCATTTTAATTAATTATTCAGAAATTATTTTTTTATAATTCTCTGTGTGCTGTTTTTATTACTTTGTCCAGTCTGTGGTTTTAATATTTTTATGAGGATCCTACCTCGTCAATTATGTACTTTGCAATAACCTCCATTATTTTCAAAGGCAATTTTACACGTATCTTTTATAACAAGCCATTGGAATAATTTTTGAATGGAGGTTAGTATAAATAAGCTAGTAAAACCTTTAGAGTAGGCCAGGAAGGGCTTCTTCCCCTTTCCCGATGGACACAACTACCTAGGATTGATTAGCCGGTCTACGCACATACTTGGTAAGGCTACATGCAGCAAAAATTTCAACCTTAGCATTTGCTTTTTCATCTCTTCTCCAATCCATGCCGTCTACAAAAAATTTATTTTAAGTTCTGCCTCCAGCAATTCCTAGTTTGATAACCTTGGGTAAGCTTTACCACCTTCCTAATTCTCATTTACTTAATTTATAAAACAAGGATCCTAACTCTTAACTCTTATCCAGTTGTAAGGTTTGAATTAGATCAAAGAATTAATAGACTTTAGTGACAGTAAAGCCTTTCATGGAATGTGTGGCACATACTAAATACAAAATAAAAGGTAGCTATTATAAACATTTTAAGCATCTCTAGGTATAAGTCAGGCCTACCCTTAAAACAACCCTCCTGTCCTTTATTACAAAGCCCCTGTGATTTAAAATCAGCAAAAGCAGCAGGAAATCTGGGCAGTGATAAAAGAAACCTATGTGTTAGTGGGGTGCAGGGAAAGGATAGAATAATTCTGATGAGGGCATGGGTCAATACAGAGGTCTTCTCTGGTGGTCAGAAGACATTATTTTAGAAATATAAAATCTGTGTATTTTTAAGAAAACCTATCATTAGAAATTGTTGCAGCCAAGGTTGTGATTCATGGAGAGAATAAGAGTAGTACTTCCTTGACTGTGAAGTGTCATTGAAGAAAAAATTCAAGAACTGAGGGTAAAAGTAAAAGTGGCTTTCTAGGAAAGAGAAAAAAATTAGTCTCATTAATCCAGAATATGCCAATTGCTATCCATAATATCCCAGAAAAGGAAAATTTGAATGTTGACCTTTGTTCAACCGATAAATCTTATTTTTATGCTAAATTACCTTTATCTGTGTTTTGTTTAATAATGTATACTAACTTGATCACATTGGCTTAGAATAATATAGAATGATCTATCTGGATTTCCTGTACTTTTCCATGAAAGACAGAATTCCTGGCACATAATTTCCTTCAAAACTCTTTGCAGGTTTTCTTAATGGATAAGACTGCATCTCTGGCTCAGAACTGGACAGAAAATAAACTCTTTGGATTTAGAAAACACAATCAAAATCTTAATTAGGATGTTCCTATTAAGAAATATAAAATAGTCATATTTTCATTTTTCTGGGGGATAGCTTTTAATGGAAGTGAAACATCAAAAACGATCCTGATAACACTTTAATAATTTTCTTATGTAAATATTAAAAGAGCTGGCTTGAGTATTAATGTGTATTTTAAATGTCTTTCTATAGTTTAACATTAGATTCTCCACAAAACAAATAACTAAACTATAAACTACTTTCAAAAAATGTTTTCATTTACCCTCATATCAGCCTTTATGGTAGAAAACTGTTAATGTAATGTTCCTTTTACATTCAATACTAAATTTTTAACAGATGCCAATTGTGAGCTTTGCCTTTTGTTTCTAAATTTTCATTTCCTTGTCCTCTAAGGCTCATATGTTTTTCCCATACCAATTTAGCACCTACTGGTTTTAAAGTGAACAAATCCAATTTCATTTTTGGACAATTAACTTTTATTTATTTCCAGGGGAACTCATTTTATTAATCCAAGCAAGCTAAAGGAATGAAATATATAATTTTCACTAAAATGCTCCATTTTTAGATAGTCCATATATGTTTGTTAGATGGAATTTGTTGAAGTCTAGCCTTTCTACATTACAACGATATAAAGTGCAGCCACCACAGTTGGTTAACACATGAACAAAACTTTAAAATCATTTGGATCATCTTGAAAAAGCAATTGTAAACATATGCGATGCTAAATAATTCTGCAGACTTTATCTCCAGTTTGCCAAATGGTGCTCAGATGGGAAGCAAACACTGCATTTGCTGATGGGAATCAAAGACAACTTAAAAGAATGTCTTGATTTTTCAGGTGGGACTTAGTTATTAGGAGGCTTGGCTTAAGCACCTATTGCTTTAGAGTTTGGGAAAAAAGAAAACTGGTTTCTATTCTTTATCCACGTCCCTCATTAAAGACTGGTAGATGACTCAGTGGCCAAAAGAAGACAGAGACCAAAATGCAAAATAGATTATTAATAGGTAGACAGATAATATAGGTAGCTATAAATATACAGAGTTCAATACTATTCATATTTTGAAAAAAGACAAGAAGTACATGCATTTTATATTCAACATATAGTAAGTCAAGTATTATCTTTCCAGAGGAAAGTTATACAGCATATCGATTCAGCATTGATAATTTTCTGCTTCTGAAAAGTTTTGAATTTTTCTGAGTGCCCAAATTGTCCTAATAAACTTATATATATA